CCAAAGTACGTGAGGTGAAGTCACTCCATCCTTGCTTCTGAGGAGCATTCTGGCTGTACTTCTTCCAAGATAGATTTGTTCGTTCTTCTGGCAGATCATTAGGTGTAGGGAAAGTAAGTACAGAGGCCCTAAGGTAGATGTTGTGAATTCAGCTAAGTCATTTTGGTCATGCTCAATTGTTGTGTTCTTTTAGGTAGACAAATTAGCTACCAGTAGATAAAGGTAGGTGAAGATCAGCTGCTGCTTCCTTGCAGTCTTTTAGCTTATAATGAAAGTATACCTCAGACCAAATTCTGCCACATAATAGATATTTATTAAGCCAACATTTATTAGAAAACAGTTCAAAAATAGTACATGTCGTCTCTTTTGTAAACATAACTTGACAGCTTTCTGTCCTTTAGGTGCTCCATCCATACCTTATACAAAAGATTCCCTTGATGTCGATGCAACAGTATTCTAGTTAATCTTCATAGGTGGCCTCAAGGAAACAGAATCCTCAAAAATGAACTGGCCTTGGCATCATCTTTAAGGCTTTTATATCATCATACAGGCTTTTATACCTTTTTCATGCAAGTGCAAAGGCGTGTTCCTGGTATTTTAGCCAATCTACTGTTTGAACTCCACCAGTTTCATTGATGAAAACTCATTTCTTGCTACTTTTAGAACTCACCTATATGAGAGACTAAATGGTCAACAATTACCTTGAAACAAAGATGAGAATTTAAGAGGGTGGAGAAACTAGATTAATGAAAACGAAAAAGCCAGAATTGAAATAATGAGAATGTTCACGCATTGTGAAGAATGTAACCAATGTCGATAAACAACTTGTGTAGAAATTGTTGAATGGGAACCTAAACTGCTGTTTAAACCTTCACCAAAAACACAATATTATTTTTTTTTTAAAAAACCCTCATTTTAAATATCTATTATGCTCATTAACAAGCCACTGATTTTTACCAAAATATACACATACATTTTTAGCATTCATTATGCAAATAGCAAAGATTCTGATGTTGGGGAATAAGGGAATGAAGAAAGCAGATATAGTGGTAACTGGAGTGTAGCCTTTCTCAATAAAAACTAACTGTCTGTAGTCTAGTTTTGTCAGTTGGCCCAATAATGTCCTTTATAGTATTGTTCCCCTTTAGTACAGGATCAGAGCCCTGGTGGCACAGTGGTTAAGAGCTCAGCCGCTAACGAAAAGGTCAGCAGTTCAAATCCACTAGCTGCTCCTTGGAAACCTGTGGGGTAGTTCTACTCTTTCATGTAGGGTTGCTGTGAGTCAGAATGGACTCAGTAGCAACGGTATTTTTGTTTTTCTTTTTTGAGCGCAGGATCCAGTATAGGGTCAGGATCTCTTTAGTTGTCTTGTCTCTTTACTCTCCTTGTATCTATAACATTTCCATAATCTTTGACTTTTATGGCATTGTCATTTTAAATACAGTGTTTCTCATTCTGTGTTTGTCTGAGATTTCCTCATGATTAGATTGAGGTTATGCATTCTGAGAATCATTTGTTGAGTAGTGTTCCTCCCAGGGTATGGCACCTGGAGGCACAGAATGTTAATCTATTCCTCATTTGTGATGCTAATTTTAATCACCCAGTCAAGGAGTTGATTGATTTCTCCACTGTTACTTAGTGGTTTGTTTTTTTTTTTCTCCTCCTTTGCAGATAATAAGTCTGTGGGGAGATGCTTTATGACCATGCAAATACCCTATTTTCAATAAAAAAAAAAAAAAACTCCCCTAGATTAAGCATCCATTGATGATTCTTGCCTGATGCAGTCTTTACTATGAAGGTTGAAAAATGATGATTTTTCCCTACTCCAGCACTTCCTCCACATGGATCTGCCAGCACTCAGCTTTCTACTGTAATCAGGAGCTCTCCCTTCTCCTCCATTTATTTATTTATTCTTTTATTAATTGTTGGATGGATTCACGAATTCCTAGATTTTAATGGTTGGTAATTTGTTATGATACTAAATTATTTTGTTGCTCAGATTTTCCCAAATTTGGCTAATGGGAGCTCCTTCAGGCTGGCTCCCTGTGCCCTGGTTACATGTTGTCGTTTTTTTTTTTTTTTTTTGAGTACTTTCTTACTTTTTGGCATAACAAAGTATTTCAGATTCATTTTGTACTTGTCTTATTGAAGTCCTGGAATCAACTCTTTCTCCGAGGAACCCTAGTTCCTTTTAGTAGGGAATAGTATTAGAGATCTGGGTATTAGGTATGCTCATTGCTTTGGGGATGTCTTTGCTTCTTGGCCCTTTCATGGGACACAGCTAGGAAATATATGCATGCATTTGCACATATACATAAAAGTGGGCTTTTTTCTATTTCTTAATAGTGTTCTATTTATTTTCCTCCAAGTTTGTAAGCAGAGAGATACTTTAAGTTCTTAAGATAGTCAATTTCATTATACTCTTCTACATGTTCCCTTCCGCAGGAGTTCCCATGTTTAACCTTTGAAATAATTCTGCATTGTGTGTTCTCTCCCATTTTAGTGCTTCTGTAAAAAGCTTTTTGTGGGGTTACCACAGTGGTGTTATTTCCTTTTCTATTCACTATTCCTTTAGAGATTCACTACTTCGTTCTCTCCCCCCCAGGTGATTCTTATGTAGGATAAATTTTAAAAAAAATTTATTGTGTTTTAAGTTGAAGTTTACAGAGCAAATTAGTTTTTCATCCAAAGATTTTATACACAAATTGTTCTGTGACATTATTTGCAATCATCTCAATGTGTCAGCATTCTTTCCCCTTTCCCTTTCCACCCCGGGTTCTCCCTGTCCATTCGTCCAGTTTTCCTGTCCCTTCCTGCCTTCTCGTCTTTGCTTTTGGGCAGGTGTTGCCCATTTAGTCTCATATACTTGACGGAACTAAGAAGCATGTTCCTCATGTGTATTATTGTTTGTTTTATAGGCCTGTCTAGTCTTTGGCTGGAAGGTGGACTTTGGGAGTGGTTTCAGTTATGAGTTAGGGCATCTGGGGGCCACAGTCTCAGGGGTTCCTCTAGTCTCTGTCAGACTGGTAAGTCTGGTCTTTTTTTTTTGTGAATTTGAGTTTTGTTCTACATTTTTATCCAGCTCTGTCCAGGACCCTCTATTGTGATCCCTGTCAGAGCAGTTGGTGGTAGTAGCCAGACAACATCTAGTTCTTCTGGGCTCAGGCTGGTGGAGGCTGTGGTTTATGTGCTCCATTAGCCCTTTGGACTAATAGTTTCCTTGTATCTTTGACTTGTTTCATTCTCCTTTGCTCTGAATATAATGGGATCATTAGATGTATCTTAGATGGCTGCTTACAAGCTTTTAAGACCCCAGATGCTACTCACCACAGTAGGGTGTAGAACATTTTCATTATGAACTCTGTTATGCCAGTTGACCTATATGTCCCCCAAGACAATGGTCCCCAGTTCTCAGCCCCAGTAACTCCATCCCGCAAGGTATTTGGTTGTGTCTAGGAAGCTTCGTTGACTTTGCCTTGGTCAAGTTGTGCTGACTTCCCCTATATTGTGTGTTGTCTTTCCTTTCACCAAAGTTAACACTTGTCTACTGTCTAGTTAGTGATTTCCCCTCCACACCCCTTCCCTCCCTGATAACTATCGAAGATTATTTTTTCTGTGTGTAAACCTTTTCTTGAGTTCTTATAATAGTGGTCTCATATAATATTTGTCCTTTGTGATTGACTTATTTCACTCAGCATAATGCTGTCCAGATTCATCCATGTCATGAGATGTTTCACGAATTCATCATTGTTCTTTATCGTTATGTAGTATTCCATTGTGTGTGTATACCATAATTTGTTTATCCATTTATTTGTTGATGGGAACTTAAGTTGTTTCCATCTTTTTGCCATTGTGAATAATACTGAAGTGAACATAGGCGTGTATATGTCTGTTCTTGTCACAGCTCATATTTCTGTAGGATGTATACCTAGGACTTGGATTGCTGGATCAGATGATATTTCTGCTTCTAGCTTTTTGAGGTGCCTTATCGTTTTCCACAGTGGTTGTACCATTTTACATTTCCACCAGCAGTGCACTCTCCCCACTACCTCTACAACATTTGTCATTATCTGTTTTTTTGATTAGTGCCAGTAATGTCGGGGTAAGATAGTGTTTCATTGTAGTTTTGATTTGCATTTCTCTAATGGCTCATGATGGTGAGTGTTTCCTCATGTGTCTGTTAGCCTCCTAAATGTCTTCTTTGGTGAAGTGTCTGTTCATATCCTTTGAGCATTTTTTAATTGGGTTATTTGTCTTTTTGTTGTTGAGGTTTTGAAGTATTCTATAGATTTTAGAGATTAGACTCTTGTCAGATATGTCATAGGGAAATTTTTTCCCAGTCTGTAGTTTCTCTTTTTATTCTTTTGGTGAAGACTTTTGATGAGCATTAATCCTTAATTTTTAGGAGTTCCCAGTTATCTAGTTTACTTTCTGGTGTTTGTGCATTGTTATTTCTGGTTTGTATTCTCTGCATGCCATTTATTATGGCCCCTAGTGTTATCCCTATTTTTTCTTCCATGATCTTTATGATTTTAGGTTTTATATTTAGGTGTTTGATCCATTTTGAGTTAGTTTTTGTGGATGGTGTGAGGTATGGGTCCTGTTTCATTTTTTTACAGATGGACGTCCAGTTTTGCCAGCACCATTTGTTGAAAAGACCGTCTTTTCTCCATTTAAGGGACTTTGATCCTTTGTCAAAGATCAGCTCACTGTAGGTGGACAGGTTTCGATTCTGTTCCATTGGTCTATGTGTCTATCGCTGTACCAGTACCAGGCTGTTTTGACTACCGTGGTTGTATAATAGTTTCCGAGTTCAGGTAGTGCGAGGCCCCGTACTTTGTTCTTTTTCCTCAGTAATAGTTTGCTTATCTGGGGCCTCTTTCCTTTCCATATAAAGCTGATGATTAGTTTTTCCATCTCGTTAAAGAATGCTGTTGGAATTTGAGTTGTTCATTTCTGAAATTTTGTTGTTTGTCTTTTGGATTTCTAGCTGCTGTTTTTTATGATTTCTAATTGTTTACTTTTTTGATGTTTTGCTCTTGTATTATATTCCTGAATTCTTCTATTGCTTTTTCTGTGTTTTCCTTGATTTTGACTATGTTTTGTTGGTTTTATATGTGTTTTTCATGAGTTTGTTTATTTTTTCCTTGGTGTTGTCTGTGTTTCCTTGATCTCTTTTGTAGCCTCTTGGAGAGCGCTAAATATTAGTCTTTTGAATTTTATATCAGGTAGTTCCACTGCCTTTTCTTCTACTGGAAGGTCCTCTTATTCTTTGTTATGGTCACTTATTGGAGCCATCTTGTCCATCTTTTTTAATGTTTTCATATTGTCTGCTGTCTCTGAAACATTAGGGTAGTATTTTCTTTATTTATTGATTGTATCTGCATTTGTTTCATCCTGCTTCTTTGTTTTGTTTGATATGTCAGGTCAGGTGTGGTTTGCTTCTTACTCGTCTATGAGCACGGTAGCTCTCATCACCTTGTCCAGGTGGGCGGGGCAACAGCAAGCAGGGTGAGCCCACTTCACTGTACACTAGTTTGACGAAGTGGCTGGTGGCGGACTGGGTGAATGCTGTCTGCCTCTTGATATTGGTTCAGTGGTATGGGAGCATTCACAGCCTCTTGACAGATAGGCATGGGTATCGAATGGGAAGTAATACGGACTTGCTTCCCACCATTCAGCAGCCAATTGAAAATATTGAAGTGGTCGAGGTTTTCATCTACTTGGATCCAAAATCAATGACCATGGAAGCAACAGTCAGGAAATCAAACAACGTATTGCATTGAGCAAATCTGTTGCGAAAGACCTCTTTCAAGTGTTAAAAAGCAAAGATGTCACCTTGAAGACTAAGGTGCACCTGTCCCAAGCCTGTTTTCAGTTGCTTCGTATGCAGGTGAAATCTGGATAATGAATGAGGAAGACCAAAGAAGAATTGATGCCTTTGAATATTTAGTTGGCGAATATTGACTATACGTTGGACAGCCAGAAGAACAAACAAGTCTGTCTTGGAAGAAGAGCCAGAATGCTCCTTAGAAGCAATTCCACCTTAGTCTTCATTTTCTGCTTGTGCAAAGGCTTAAGGTTAGCTGGAGGTGAGAGCTTTGGTTCTCCTCAGATCTTTCCTGAGAATGCACACAGCCTTGGACATTTACCTGGTCTTCTAGATTTCCCAGTAATCTGTTGGAGCTTTTCATAGCCTGCTGTAGACATCTTGTTCCACAGATTAGTTCTTTAAATTTTTTGCTTAGCGTATTGTTTACCCTAATTATTCTCCCTTCCCTCAGATGGTTGAGAGTGTAGTAACTGTACCGGATTCTTTTCGACTAGGAGTCCTCTGAATCAAATAAAGACAAACTTTCAAGTAGTATCTTTCAGAGAACCAGCATATAGGTGAAATAATGGCAATTTGGGGGAAATGTGGCCTTGAAGGGGTTCCATTGCCAGTCTGCTCCCTCCAGTGGTTGCCTAACTGCTTGTTTTCATGATGATTGTGGGCTGTTGGATTTCAAGGCTGTTGTGGAGCTGGGGAGGACGGGCAGTAGGAACAAGGAAGGTCAAAACACTACAGGGCTCACCCTTTTTACTGAGACTCTTTGAGTGTGTTCCCTGGATTACGCTAACCTATGGTTAATTCTAGAGTTCTGAAAAAAAGTTGATTCTGACAATGTTTGCTTTTATAGAAGAGAGAATTTTTGGAGGCCTTTATTCTGCTATTTTTATTGACGTCTTCCCTGTTGTCTCTGAAATAGAATGTGCTTCACTCATCTTTAAACCTGCCATTGCCCTATAGGAGTTTATTAAATTATCTCTTAGGTAAGGTTCCTGACTCTCAAAAATTCTATGATTTTTCTAGTTTAGACAGACAGGAGGATCCCCGGTGGCACAGTGGTTAAAGCACTCAGCTGCTAACCGAAAGGTTGGTGGTTCAAATCCACCAGCCACTCTATGGGAGAAAGATGTGGCAGTCTGCTTCCGTGAAGATTTACAGCGTTGGAAACCGTATGCGGCAGTTCTACTCTGTCCTGTATGGTTGCTATGAGTCGAAATCAAGATGGCAGTGGGTTTGGTTTGATTTTGGTTAGACAGATAGGAGTCTGAAAAAGACTGAATTAAATTTAATATAAAATAAAAATGATCTTTAGTTCATTCTCATCAGTTGAATATCTGGGAAAAATAAAGCACCTCCCCCAGCAAATATGTAAAGTACTCTATTGTATATTTCTTAATAGTGTTATTTATACTTACTTTTTTTTTAGTGTCTGCCTCTTCTGTTCCTTCTTATTATTAACGGATTCAATTTTTTACCCCCTAAGGCAACAAAGAATGCTGATGGGAGAACCATTTCCCTAATTTTCTGATTGTCAAGCTAATTGCCATGATGGGTGAGTTCAAACAAAACATTTTTGAGCAATAATTAAAGGATAGAATAGAGTAGAAAAAAATTTCTCTATTATGTGTTCATGACAAACCATATAAAGAAATTTTATAATGTAGTAGATTTATGTATTGTTATTGTATTTAGTTACTTAATAGATTTTCAGCTAAAGCACTTAATTGAGTTAAGTGGAATGACAGTTTTATGCAGGGCATAGTAGGGAGATTCAGAAGAAACTGTTAAGAATAATTGTGGTTTTTCTTAGAGTCTGGTAGTAAAAGAGAATACTTGATAAGGAAACCTGACTTGTAAAGACTGAATAAATGCTGAGAAATGCATTGTTATTTTTATTATTAGCTAACAATCTAATAATACAAATAGACTAAAGAAAACAGCAGCATTACAAAGAATAAAACATAAACGTTTATAATAGCAAAGAACAATAAATCATTGGTGGCCAGGGAGGATATGTTTTGTAACTCTTGTGACTATCCTGTGGTATCAGTCATAATGCCAATGGATAGGGAGAATAAAGTATGGGAATGGGTTGAGTGTGTTCAGTTTATGTATCTCTTTGTTTTCTTTTTCTTTTTCCCCTTCCTTTCTGAGGTTGAGGGTTCCAGTGTGAGGGAGGAATTGGTCCGGGAAACACTGCAAAGAAATGGAGAAATTGGGAAAGTGGACTGAGTAGTTGGAAGCTGAGTTTTTGAATTTAGACTAATTTTGATTCTCTAGCATTTCCTTGGCAGAGTCTGTCTTTGTTAAAGCAGTTTTCATACCATTTGCTTAAAAATATTTATTCTTACATATATGCCACATCGTAGGCTGAAAAGCTTAATATGCCCGTGTTCTTTAGTGGAAGAGACACTTTCAGCATGTCTACTTATGGCAAGTGTGTAAGCCAGAGATTCGCCTTCATGCTTTCTGAATTTCTCTTCCCCTTTCTCTTCTGTCGCTGTGGCTGTAGTGCCCCCATGTAGTCCACATTCTCGACTCTAGTCAGCCTCACCTCCAGCTTCAAATTAGATAGCTCTTTACCAAACTGTCAGCTCTTCATTTTGGGAACTCTCACTTGCACTGTAAGCTATGTATTAATCTAATGGATTTCTACCATCCTTCTCAAATAATACTTCACTGTAGTAAGTAGCAAAACAATGAACAGTCATTGCTTAAAAACATATATATAGGTAGTCACAGAAAAACATGGATATTTAAAAGTGTGAATCGTGTATTTGATTTTTTGATTGAGGATGTTCTGCAGTTATTTCTCAAGTAAGCATAGAAGATATCTACTTAATTCAACATTTCTGGTAAACAGTTTTGTATAAAATTTTTTCTCAAATATTTTCTGTTTTCGTGCTCAACTAAAAGTCCTTTGACCATATATCTGACCCCCAGTACTGCTTCTGTGGGCCTGTTGGTGAGGCTCCGGGATCCTTTGGGCATCCTCACTGCCTGCTGGGTCACCTTATGATCCTGTGACGTTTATAACCTGTCTGATCTGCCTAGTACCCCGTAACCACCACACATGTATCCTACTTAAGTTGTTAAAGGTTGTTCCTAGGATTGTTCGAGCAGTCCTTATAGTGTGTATGTTCACTATTTCCTTGGTCATATGTGGATTTGTTAGCTTACACTTTGTGAGCCTCCTCAAAGTAAGTTTCCTACTGGCTTCTTATCTACCATGTGATTCTCCTTCCAGACAGAAAAAGGAGGAATTCAATGAAATTGCCCTTTGTTTTGTATGTCATCTCCCTAAGAAGTTACTCTTGCCAAGTCACTGTGAGGTATAAACTGCCCTCTTAGCTTTTTTACATCTATGGTAGAAAAGAGTAGTCTTTTTTTTTTTTAATTGTTTTAATTAAATGAAGTTTACATTTCAAGTTAGTCTCCCATACAAAAAAAATTTTTTTTTTTTTTTTACATGCTTTGTTATGAGACCACAACCGCTCACCCCATTCTGCAGCAGCACACTCCTCCCCTCTGCCCCTGATTCCCCATGAGCATTCAACCAGCTCCTAGCTCTCTCTGCCTTCCCATCTCACCTCTGGACAGAAGCTGCCCCCTTGGTCTCTTGTATCTACTTGAATAAGAGGCACATTCTTCACAAGTATCACTTTATGTCCCACAGTCCAGTCCAATCCCTGTCTGACGAGTTGGCCTCGAAAATTGTTTTAGTTCTGGGCTGATAGTCCAGGGGCCATGCCTTCCGGGGCGCCTCCAGTCTCAGTCAGACCATTAAGTCTGGTCTTCTGAATAGAATTTGAGTTCTGCACCCCACCTTTCACATGCTCCATCAGGGACTCCCTGTTGTGTTCCCTGTTAGGGCGGTCATTGGTGGTAGCTGGGCACCATCTAGTTCTTCTGGTTTCAGGCTGATGAAGTCTCTGGTTTATGTGGCCCATTCCGTCTCTTGGGCTGATACTTCCTTTGTGTCTTTGGTGTTCTTCGTTCTCCTTTACTCCAAGTGGTTGGGACCAATTGATACATCTTAGATGGCTGCTTGCAAGCTTTTAAGACCCCAAACACCACTTACCAAAGTAGAATGCAGAACATTTTCTTAATAAGCTTTATTATGCCAGTTGACCTCGATGTCCCCCGAAAGCATGGTCCCCAGACCCCCCATCCCTGCTACTCTGTCTGTCAAAGTATTTGATTGTATTCAGGAAACTTCTTAGCTTTGGTTTAGTCCGGTTGTGCTGGCTTCCCCTGTAGTGTGTGCTGTCCTTCCCTTCACCTAAGATGATTCTTATCTACTATCTAGTTAGTGAATAACCCTCACCCTGCCTCCGCACCCCCGTAACCATCAAAGAATGTATTCTTCTGTGTTTAAACCTTTTCTTGAGTTCTTATAATAGTGGTCTTGTACAGTATTTGCCCTTCTGTGACTGACTGAATTTACTCAGCATAATAAGTTCCAGCTTCCACCATGTTATACAATGTTTCACACCTTCATCATTGTTCTTTATCATTGCATAATATTCCATTGTGTGGATTTACCATAATTTGTTTATCCATTTGTCTGTTGATGGGAACCTAGGTTGCTTCCATCTTTTTGCT